TGTATACATGTACATGTAAAAAACAACAGCAATATTTGACGAAGATAATAATGATGGAATGGACTTTAAACGTCCATTGAAATATATCACATGCATGTCGGAACAGAAACTTGAAATTGACAAAAGGTTTTAATGGTAAACGGAAAAAAAGTCGCAGGAAAAAAAGGTCACAGGAAAAAAAGTCACAAATTTGGTATGGAAAAAAGTCACACATTTGATAAATGTAGGAAAAAAAAGTAAAAAATCTGCTAGGAAATAATCTCCATGTTTGTACAAATGTTTGATAATATTTCATTGTTTTTCTCTTTCTTTTTAAGTTATACAGAACTTTCAATGGTAAATTAATGACATAATAAAAAAAAACATGTTTAAGGTTTTAATTGTTAATCTGTCCAGACAGTAGACGATTGACTGGAAAATAGTAAAATGAAGCCAGTTTATTAGTTAAATTGGATTGTTTTTAAAACTTGACATTTTCGTGGACAACAATTTGTTTTAATCTTGGGAAATTTATTAGATTTTAATAAATAGAAACATCATAATACCATACCTCTGTATTCTTACATCAAACAGATGTTAAAACATTAGAAAACTCTATTCAGTTATAATTTACTACAAACAAATGCTGGTCAAATAATTATCCTGTGACTTTTTCATACGATAGAGACAAATAAAACATAAACATGTGTATGTTTGTGCCTACATCATAAGAAAAAATCTATTAAACAGTATTCAAAAATTTAATATACTATATTTACTTTTTTTTTTTAATTATTGTGACTTTATTTCCTGTGAATTGTTTTCCTGTGACTTTTTTTCCTGTGACTTTTTATCCGTGACTTTTTTTCCGTGACTTTTTTCATGTGACTTTTTTTTCCTATATTCGTATTAATAGAACCCTACTTTTTACAAGGCTATATCACAAGGTTCACATCAGTATACAATATAACTAACAATTGTGATGGCGAATTTCTTAAACTGTTCTAAAACAATGTAATCGAAATGTAAATTTGTGATTTTACTTTGTTCATAACTTCGACGAAGCAAAGCAAGTTAGATATAGATCTGAATTTAAATCAGATTGTCCTGGAGGTTTCTCTCTTATTTTCAATAAACATATTTTAAATTGTGACTATCTACAGTTCCGTGACTTTCTATCTGTATAAACCAATGATCGACAAGTGCGTACATTTTTGTGAAATAAATATTTATATGTTTTCAAAATGTCCATAATTATTGACAACGAGTACATACTTACATTTTCCAAACTGTACAATTGGAAAATATCTAAATAGATTTTTACTTCTTCAAATATTTAGTTGGAATTGTTTAGATTTTCATAAATATCATTCATTACTCCAGAAATGTCATTCCGATAAACAAGTGGTAGTGAAATTCAAGTATGAGTTTAGTAATGTCTAGTGTTTATGAGTGGCCGTTCATGTCATTTGCGCGATTGTATACGCGTATATAATTTTATACGCATATATATACGCGTATATTACCTACATATACGCGTATATTGTTGTTTTAAACGCGCATATTGTCGTTTTATACGCGTTTATTGTTAAAATATACGCGTATATATACATGTCACTGCTGAAAATGATTTTTTTTTGTGTAAACGCGTATAATAAATGTAAATTTTTTGTGCTATACGCGTATATAAACGCGTTACTTCTGGGAAGATATCAAATATTTCGCTTATCGTTAGTTTATGTGTTACATATTTGTTTCGTTCATTTTTGGTACATAAATTAGGCCGTTAGTTTTCTCGTTTGAATTGTTTTACATTGTCATTTCGGGGCCTTTTATAGCTGACTGTGCGGTGTGGGCTTTGTTGAAGGCCGTACGGTGACCTATAGTTGTTAATTTCTGTGTCATTTGGTCTCATGTGGAGAGTTGTCTCATTGGCAATCATACCACATCTTCTTTTTTATATTTACACAAACAAAAAGGCATATAGACAATGCGCCTTAACAAAACCAAAAGAAAAGAATACCACAGCGCAATAAACACTATGACGGGATGGCCACGTACCGAGCCATGTCAAATGAGCACTGCCAAAAATAGGCTAAACAGTTCGAGTAATAAATTACAAAGGCTAATAAAAGAATACTATAACACGTTATTAAGATGATAAACAAAATCAGTACCTAGAATTTATACTTCAAGACCATCGTGTATTATTTGTGAAGTTTAGACGGAATATTTATCAACAAGGTCTTGGGTTCTTCCAATGAACCTTTTTTTAGAAGTATGTGTTTTAGAGCACAACATTAAAAACCAGGATGCCAAGTTTAGAAATAAAAAAAAAGGCAGTTAGTATGGGCCTAGTAATGTGAATTCGGTAATAGTGATTTAAAAGAGTTTTATTAATTATATAATAATGTTTTGGTAACATGGATATCACATTACTAATTGTTCTATGGTCATATACCAAAAGGTGGTAGGGCTTCTTCAGGTCATGTCCTAGTCAAGATCAAGAAGTTGTACGGTGATTTTAAACAATTCCTCCCCATATTCAAGTGATGAAATGTTTGACAATGGGTTAACTTCTTCACATATCTTTTGACGTTTGTCTCCAGGTATATTGACATCAACAACATAAATAATTGCATCGACATCGTTTTCACTATCACTACCACCATTATCATTATCTTCAACTCCATATTCTTCTAGCAGGTCTTGATAGTATCTGTCATTGGTGGATCCAGCATCCTCAAGTACTTCCTCTATGGACTTTAAGATGGACATAGCGTTTGTAAGCACACCTTGTATGAACAGCTGATTTGGGCTCCTATTGTGTTCAGTTGAGACTGGATGGTTGTTATATTGAAAGGCGAAGGACTTTAATCTTTCATTTATCCTTGGCAGAAAAACATAATGGAGAACATATAGGTGATAATCATTTGTGATGTCTAATATATTTTTAAGTTCCATATAGAAAAACAAATCATAAAATTCATTTGAAACATCTGTTTTTGTATGGCGTCAGTCGTCCCAAGCCGGAAACAATCATCAACGGTCTCTTTTACTCTCTTCAAAAATCTCTCTCTGTCCCCGTTTCCGCTAAAGTTGGCAGCCATATTCGTTATATGGCATCAGTTGTCAAATACAAACCAGTTTAAAAACGCAGTTTTCATTGGTTAAAACAATAAGACAAACGAATGTTTATTAACGCGTATATAATGATTTCATACGCGTATATTTACGCAAATAACGCGTACATTAACGCGTATATTTACGCAAATAACGCGTATATTAACGCGTATATGATAAATAAATTGGAATAAAGTATAAACGTGTTTTTTCTAACAATATACGCGTATAAAACCACAATATACGCGTATATGACAGCCATATACGCGTTAAAAACCACAATATACGCGTATATGTAGGTAATATACGCGTATAAAATTATATACGCGTATATAATCGCGCAAATGACATGAACGGCCACTCATAATCACTGTCGGACACAAGACAAAAAAATGTATACATGATGTATATTACACCTGATAGTTTTTAAATGGAAAGTTCCAAATTACCGGCCGTGTACACTGATCTACACGCTCAGCAGTGAAGCTATGCATGAACCTGCATTAAGTAATTATTTTTAAGCCCAACAGAAAATCATTTGAATACCTAGACGTGTCACCTCACAATACCTCTGGCAATAATTCCTTTAGCCATGTTGATGATCAAATTAGGGAAGGACCGAATTAAATAAATGTATTACATAAAAGAGTTATCAACAAATTAGATTTTTGAAAACAATTTTTGATTGCATAAAACATGTGGATGTATCTTTTCAATCTTGATCGAAAAATAGTTCTTAAGGGTTTATTCCTATTGCAAAATAATAGACATAACATAGTCTTTTTCCTTTATAGCATTCTTGTACCGACCTTTTTATATTTTTAAATTGTGAAATTTTGTAATAAGTTGTCTATTTTTGAAACTGATATATTTAGTAGAAAATCTTCTAATTTTATATCTGGTTTAAGTTTATTATATTGGAACAATTTTGAATTATTTTTCAAGTTATTTACATTTTGTAATGTTTTATCTTTGTATTTTTCAAATATATTGTTCTTATTTTTTTCTGGAAAACAGGTTTAATCTTTTAAAATCTGTTTATCTATGTTGTCCTATTCTGTTATATCTATATTTAAATCTTCAAATATTTTAGAAGCAAGAGTACTTTAAAAAAAAAAAAATGTTTTTCTTCTCTTATGGTCTATTAAAATGTTACATGCTTCCTGTATTAAAGGATTTATCCCCTTTGCACTCATTGTACAAAAGAATTTGAACTTTAATACAAGAATCGATAGGAAATCTCCGAATATGTCATTTGCAGCAATATTACATGAAGTTTGTGAAGAGTAGTTTTACAAAATGTTTATCAATTTTTTTCATGATACATTTAGCTACTAAAGCCAAAGTACCACAAACAGTACAATTTTCACATATCTCATAGTACAGGATGATAATCATATTCTTGAGTTGTTATAAATGTCTGGTGTTTCTAAGATTAATTTCTCATTATTGGTGTATATTTAATATGAAAATCGTCTTTTCGGAAATGTATCCAATTCTTATTAGTTTTAAATTTGTCAACAAAAACAATTTATGAAATACTGAAAATATATCTAGACTTTGACAGCAAACGTTCAATAACTTTTGTACGAATAGTATAAAAATTACCAGAATGTGTAGCTAAGGCTGTTTGAACAATTTGTAAGAAGTCGTTAAAAACATACTTGAGTAATCGTGAGATATGATGGGGAAAACACGGTATACAATAACACGACCGTCTTTGACAGGGTACGAAAGAAAATAGACGTGTTTTAGAGACAATCTATCAAGTTGTGTGTGAATAATTGTCAAAAAATCGTTAAAACATGATAACGATACGTGTTGGAACCCAGATGGTATAAAATATTATAACCTTCTTCAAATATCGTTAAAATATAAGTTAGAAGCGTTGTATATACCTGTACTTTGAGAAGGTTGACAAATGTCTTTAACTTGAAGAAGTAGTTTAACCAGGAAGGTAAACAAATGAAACAGTCACGAGATATTTAATCGTCCAATCTATTGACGACAGCTGTAACCATATGTTATTCATGTTTAAATAGCGCGTAACTTTAAATGTACTAACACTTTTTGTATACCACGTTAGTCTGAAAATAAATGCTAAAGTAATAACAGTGAATAAAAATTTAAGAAATACTTTAATACATCTGGGACATATTAATACAATTCCCTCCATAAATGAATAAAAAGTTCAGTAAACAAACACCACACAACTGGTAATGTACGTTACCTAATACAACCGGAAGGTCTTGCTCAGTATTTACGATAAAAGATTCTCAAAATCGTCTCAACATAATGAAGTTCCAGTCCAAACATCAATTCATTCAATAATACATAAACTGAGTGATCAAAAACCGAAATTACAGATGAACGACGACTGGGCGCACTGTTTAAAACCACCCGCTCCGCGAGTTTGGATGTTATTTATGGCAACATTAGCTTACTGTGGATTCATTTATTTTCGTGGGTATCAATTTTTGTGGATAGAGTAAAAAAGACGTTTCGTGGTATACGTAAATTCGTGGATCGCTGATTACAAAAAAAAAAAAATTCAGATTCGTAATTCGGTGATTTCTTTTTGATTTAGGAGATCATATAACCTCCTTAGTTTGATCAATAATAAAACAAACAAAAAAGAAGGAATTCATTGAAAAAGTTTTGAATTGTCAAAATCCTCGCTTGGTCATTCTAGGTTAAAGTGTTCATTGAAAACTTCGTATATGTAAGAGAATGATTATCCCTTTCTTCATGAATAAGTACGAGCGTTAGTAAGGGATTATCATTCTCTGACAAACTTAGCATATTGTAAAGTGCTCAAGGCTCAAATGATCTATTCAAGCATTAGTTTCATTGTCAGTGCAATGTTTATAATTGATGCATGACTTCCTTTTTCGGCATGTCATTTATGGATAAGTTTTAGTGATGTGAGGACTTTCTTATCATTTGGGAAATATTTAAAAAAAAAATGCGTTATAGATATTAGGTGACACAACAGTAGAAAGAAAAGGTATGAATTGTATGTTTCCTGATTGTGAGTATGAATGTAAATCATGTAATATTTTAGTGAGGAATTATCCTGTTTTATTTACAGTTTAAATCAATAAAAACACGTGTTATGTTACAATGTTTATCGCTAGTCAACACTATACTAGAACTGCATAACATAACAGGAAATAAACATCCGACTCCATACACATTTTTCGGGATTATTCTCCGTTGAATTCTTAAATTCGTGGTTCGCTATGACCCACGAAACCCACGAAAATTGGTATACCACGAATAAAAATGAATCCACAGTATTTCAAGGTCGCAATTGTATGAGTTTTTACACATTGCATTGGGAAGTTGCTCATGTGCAATACTTGCATTTCCTTTTTAAATATGATTTCCTTGATGGAGGGTTGCTGCACTCAAGGAAGCTACTACACCAAGAATTCAAAGAGGTGAAGTTGAAATCATCCCTCCGAAAATTTTACGGACGTCATCACGAGTTGGTTAAGCGTTATGGAATATCTGGTTTACAGATGACGACGGATATGATCCTATTGTCGAAAAACAAACTCTCGACCTGCTTTCCCCGATTGAGATCTACCAAATTAGAATTATCACTGGGCTTGTACTTGAATGAGCAACACAACCGGTGCCACATATGGAGCAGATTCTTCTTACTATTCAAGAGCACCTGAGATCACCCCCGGTTTTTGATGGGGTTCGTGTTGCTCAGTTTTTAGTTTTCTATGTTGTGTTTTGTGTGCTGTTGTTTGTCTTTTGGTCTTTTTCGTTTTTTGTCATAGCGTTGTCAGTTTATTTTCGACTTACGAGTTTGAATGTCCCTGTGATATCTTTCGACTCTCTTTTGTCGAAGGGCACATTTTTATAAAGATAACATGTTTGAACCTTTTGCTACATTAAGCTGTATTTTTCATTTTTCTGATATTTAATCAAATTTGCAGTTTCTCAGAAAATCTAAAAGTTGCGAAATATGTTTTTTTCTGGGTAAACATATGCAATTCCTCGTGTTTGAGATGAATGCAAATTAATCATGAAATTAAACAAGATCGTCCATTAGCATACCCGTTACTTCAAATATCAAATATTTGGGTTGAAGTACTTTCCCCCCAGGCGGAAACCCAGTTGAAATAGAACAAAAGAATCGAAGCTCTTTGTTAGAGAAGGCGATAAATGCTTACTGTAATGTTTACTGTAGTAACACAAATTTTAAAAGTTAATAGAAACAAATAAAATGACAGTTTTTTGCTAAATTACGAAATATTTTATCATAAAAACACAATTTGCATAAGTTTTCAATTTATCTATTACATAATTAAGCAGAACAATTAGATATCAAGTCGACGACATGGGTGTCTATTAAGTTGGATCTAAAAAATGCATAACCTCCGATTTTTCAAAAAATTTTACCACGGACGGAAAACATATCAATCTATTTGTTCCTTAATTTTCGTTTCTGCCCTTCCATTATGTGACTCAAGACAAAATTCCAAAAAATGGGCAACAATTGCATCGAAAAGAGAAAATCGAGTGCACCTTTTTCTGTTAGGGCGTGTTTGAGTTGAATATTTTGTCTTGAAAACGTAAAAAGCAAAAGTATTTGATACATCATCTCGCTTCAGATTCTATCATTTTTATATATCAAGGCTACAGGTTGACTTTATAACATCGAAAATTCACAGTACTAAAAAAATGAAATATATAGGTCAAGTGAAATACCTTTCTAATGAATCATAAAAGCAGAGTAGGTGTGTTCGAATAGCAAATTTTTACTAAAAGTACTTGACGACAGACTTTTAAGTTGGATCTTAAAAATGCATATCTTCGAAAAAACTTCATTTTTTGTGTGTGATATCTAGGGTTTATAGTCTTCAACCACTGAAAATTTTTAGTCTGCCCTTCCACGAAATATTGAATTAGAATTTTTTTAAATGTTTATGAATTTTCGAAAATTCCACCTGACAACCGATCAGACAATAGTTTTAAGTTGACTGAATGCAGACAAGTACACTAACTGATGTTCGTTAGCTAGTAGATACATTTGTCTTTTAAAATACAACTGGCATATAAGGATCGTAATGGTGCTATGCGGATAAATTTATCGGTTTTCAAGAGCTAAATTGGCAGCGCGTCATCCCTACAATGGCTTCCATTTTTACGATTGTAAAAATGAACTGGCGTAATGGGGAGATAATTTTGACGAAGTAGAATCCTGACTGCCCCTACATATGATATGATTAAATACAACAAAAGAAAAAAAAATCCCCAAAAATTAGTATGCTTATTTTCCTGCATTCTGTACACGTCTTTGGTGATATATTATAGTAATTTTCTCCTTCATATCGAATGTCTGAATTAAACGTGTGTTCATCCTACACAATAAGATAAAGTCAATGTGAATCATTAAAGTATTTATATCATCCGAAGAATTCACTTTGGCATAAACACTTGGAATTAAATTAACACCATAGCGTTTATAAAATGTTTAAAAGTTAAAAACAGTCTTCTGTAAACAGTTTAAACTTTTCATAGAACCCATTTGTATAGGAATAATAATATACCAAGTTGAAATTGAGTGATTCACGTGTTCCATTCTATTATGATACAAATAACAATTTAATGAATAGAAAGTAAACACATAGCAATTCATACATTTACTTAAGAATTTTCAGGCAGAAACTCTTCCTTAAATCGTATCGAACCAACCAGGTTAGCTTTGTCATCATGACGCCACGAGGCTGCCATCGTGCTTCTCACTTCAGACAGGTTCAAAATAACCCAATTTATTCGTAATGTGTATCGCACTCAAAGAGGCAACCCGTGTTAAGTCGATTAGTTCATATTCAAATATTCTAATATTTGAAATAAAAAAAAAAAGTTGTTTTACCATTTTTGAGATACTTACATCTAATACTTACATAACCGGTCGTCAATTTATTGTTGTAAGAAGTAAGCAGTATATCCTTTAACTTCTCTTTCCGCTATATAGATGACGTTCTCTCATTAAATAATTCAAAATTTGGTGACTATGTTGAACGCATCTATCCCATCGAACTTGAGATAAAGGATACAACAGATACAGTTAAGTCTGCCGGAGTTTATATCTTCCAGTCGATACGTTATTCCAGGGCTTGTATTTTCTATCATGATTTCCTTGATTGAGGGTTGCTGCTCACAAGGAAGCTATTAAACCATTAGTTCCATGTGGTGAAGTTAAAATCATCCCTTCGTAAATTTTGCGGACGCCATCACAAGTTGGTTGACTGTTTTGGAGTATTCGTTTCAAAATTTTTCAAAATATTTCGTTATGACAACGGATATGTTCCAACTGTCGTAACTACAATCCCGTTCCCCTTTCCCCGAACGTGGCTTACCGAATTAGACTTACCACCGGGTTTGTACTAATATGAGAAACACGATGAGTGCCACATGTGGAGCAGGATCTGCAAACCGTTCCGGAGCTCCTGAGATCACCCTCAGTCTTTGGTGGGGTTCTTGTTGTTCAGTTTTAGATTTTCTATGTTGTGTTTTGTGTATTATTGTTTGTCTGTTTGTCATTTTCTTTTTTTAGCCATGGCGTTGTCAGTTTATTTTCGACTTGTGAGTTTGAATGTCCCTTTGGTATCCTTCGCCTCTTTTGTATTATTATTATCGCATTTAAATAAGTTCCTTCAAAATGGTAAGCAAAAATAGATAACATTAAAGGAATGACTGTAATATTTTTTCTGTCTATTCGAAATAACATAAAAAATATGGTGCACACTAAATAACCCGCCTAACGGGTTATTAAAAAGTGTGCACGACATTTTTTTAGGTTATTTCGAAGAGACAGAAAAAATATTACAGTCATTCCTTATAATTTAATTCAAAATTCCATATTTTAGGAGCAAATTTTGAAAAAAAAACGTTGGTGACGTCACGGTCACATGCAGGCA